TCCTGTTTCGCAATAATATTTATTTAAAAATAGTCACATTGATTTGTTAAAATTGAATTGTTCATTTATTGTTTTATTTATAAAACAAAAAATTCGAACCAACTTAATTGACAAACAGACGATTTTTCTGGGGGGAAAAATTGTATCCGGTCTGATTTTGAAAATTCATTAGTTTTTGGGTGAATTTTTTTACTAGATTTTGTCCATTTAATATTCTCATGTTCCTTTCTCTCTTCTTTCCTCATGATTGACCCGGTTGACTGATTGCGGCTGGTGCGCCAATCATCCACGTTACATTATTACCAGAGAGCAAATTGCACTTGATAGAAAGTGACTGCATATGCATGCAAAATTATATATTATTCCAATATGCTGCAAAATTTTTTCTGTTCAAAAAAAAAGCACGTGGAATTTACGTATAAAGGAGAGCAAACGAGTTGTTAGAGCGCGCGGAATGAGAAATTCCTTTGTGTGCACCAGAAATCCTGTTACTCTCGTCGACGCCGGTCTTGTTTTTATTTGTACTCGCTACGAGAGTTGCAATACAAAAGAGCTTTTTCCCGCGTCGACCGGCGCCGGCTGACTGCTTTTCGATGGAAATTATTCGTGCGTGCAAATTAGCAGTTTCACTTTGGAAAATGAGAGTGTGACAGGCAGATGCACGACTTTAAAAAAAGGCGGTAAAATAAAGGGTAATAATAATTTATCAAAAAACCCAAAAATAATTATTTAATAAACACATTTTTTAATAAAACTTGATGAAAAATTAAAATTGATATCAAATTCATAAATAATTACTTTTAAACTGCTTGTTAAACAATAACATTTTTAAATTTTAAAATATCGAAAATAATTAATTATATTTTAAACAAAATAAATCATCAAATAATGTAAAAATGTTAAAAAATAATTGATATATTTGATTTTGTTTATAATTTACTTTTAATTTTTTTAATTTATGAAAAGTGATAAGATTCATCTTGAGTGTATTTTTTTTTTTTAATTGTAAGTGTGACATTGCAGATAATAATAAAATTAAATACCTTTCATCAAATTAAATTTAGATTTTTTTTAAATTTATTTCTTGCAGCAAGACCTACTAAATCACTTATCCTTTTTTTCTTTTTTTGAAAATTTTTAATAATTTTTTGGTTGTTACTTGAAGGCCCCTGTCTATGCATTCCCAGTGCGTTGTGTCTGGTCACGTGGAACGCGAGTCTCAATCGAGAGCGCTTGTGCATATATTATGAATGTTTGATGCGCGCATATATTACACTCTCAAACGTATACTCGGGGAGATGTAGGTCTGTAGGATGCTGTGCGAGGCGAGCACGAAGCCTACTTTTGCTCCTTTCTTTTGTCACTTCTTCCGCCATTCAGGTTAGATGGATGCCTTTTTTTCTTTTTGCATCAGCCAGTGCTGGACGGCGACATCGAGAGCCGTTTCCAGGTTGGAATGTCTCGTTGGCAGTTTTGGGTTAATGTCACCTTTTATCTGAACTGCCTGTCTAAATTAAGAAATGACCTCATAAAAGGAAACTTCGAACAACTCCGCTGCAAAAATATCGCAAAATCAGATGTAATTTATTTTTTCTAATAGTTAAGCATCGTTTTCATAATTTTATTATTTGCACACGTGCTGAAAAATGTGATTATCTTTTTAATTTCCTGCTTAATTTATTCTTATTTAAATTTCATCACATTATTGTTATTGTACTTCAATAAATTACTTGAATGTCACTTTTTACTTTCAATGTTAAAAAAATGTTTTCAATGAAAGCTAATTTGCAAGAATGAAATTGATATAATTAAAATTCTTATTCAAAGATGAGAGATTATTTGTTTAAAATATTATAAACCCCAGAACAAATAATAATGATAATAATAATGAAATATTAACCCTTTGATATAAATAATTTATGTACTATTTTAACAAAAAAGAGAGCAATTTAAATTTTCATTGTATTTTTTTTATTGCTGATCTGATCGGCATTGCTCTATCAAATAGCTGATGTGAAATTTGATTTCCTGGTAGAGTCTTTGCATGGCAAGTGTACATACTGAGAAGTGACTCCATTCATGCAGTTTTTTACCGACAATGAGACGGGTTGAACGACCCCTCAGCATACATGTGTATGCAACCAGTCGGGCACGCTGGTCGGCGGTCTGTAAACTCTGGAGCGTTTCAAGTGATTTGCGGTGTTCGTCGCGTCAATTATGCAAACAATCGTGTGACTCAGCTCGTTTCACTCGTGCGCTTTTTACCAAACGCGCCACCGTGCAGTCTTGGATGGCCGCGTCGAGGAAGAAATAAAAACAGCTGACTGCAGCCTTCAAACCGTGCTTTTGCTGAACTTGGCTTATCGGCTTAAATTTCCGTCGAGAAATAATTACGCCACAATTTAAGGTTATGATTCTCTAATCTAATCTTAAGCAGAGAGTAATAGCCGCAATTAATCCTTTAAATTTTGAGAGTCCTCAATTATCGGGTCCAATTAACATTTGACTATGTTGTTTGCAAAATTCACTTGAATTTTGCAAATTCAAATTGTTATGTAGATCGGTTTTACCTCTATAAACCTCAAATTTTATTGCAGAATAGTTTTAGTTTAAAACATAGTACGCATTTCTTTATAAATAAGAATCAATCTCTTTGCCTGTCAGATCTGATTAAATAAAAGTTACAGAAATTATATTTATTTCAGAAAATAAGTGAAAAACTGAATTTAATTAATTTCAATTACAACTTTTCAAGGAAATATTGTTTTATAAAGCAAATTTGTTGAATAAAAATTGTAAGTATTGTAATAATGGGAAATTTTATTGACGACTGGGACAAAACGAATGGCATGTTTCTCCACTCTTGATGCGTCTAGTCTAGTGCCCCGTAATCAATTTGAGGGGCAAGTGGTGCTCGAGAGGGTCCTGGAGTGTGCGACAATCGACTGTGAATCGACTTGGCTCGCCACTGATGCATGAATCGGCGAGGCAAGAGCGCCAGATGTTTCCCTCTGTGTTTCAATATTTAATTTCTGCGTCGCATTGAAACCGAATCCGACCTGCCCGAGGTCTTTCCTTCCCATACTGGTCTAGGAAAAGGAAGGAGCACGAAATGTGTCTTATTAACACACTTACAAAGAGGCAGGCTTGATAATTGAGTCATGCGTGGTGTGTTTGTACGCATTATTCAGATCAGACACACAGCGTGAACGTTTCTCGGCCGGTAATAAACGTTTAATTGAATCAGTAGGAATCTATTGACGCGCAAATAGTAGGTCACATAAAGCAAAGTAATCAGTGGAATAATTAAAAATAAATGTACAAATTTTATTATAAAAAACATCACTAAACTTGCGGTTCCAAGGAGTGGTTCTTACTTAGTTAAAAATTTATGTTAAAATTTTTTTAAATATTAATTTGGTTAAGTTGACTTTGAAATTTTGTCAGTAATCAAGTGATTATTTTCAATTTCATTGTTAAATAATCATGCAAATTTTGTAATCTGATGAAGACAAAAAATGGACATCAAAACCGATCATTCAATTTTATAGCAATTTACAGAGTTATTCAATTTGATATCCTATTAATGATTTATTTTATTTCTTTATTTTTCTAAAAATTATTAATATAGTAATGTTTTAATTCATTTAATCTTTTAAATTCAAATTTAACATACAAAAAATCTTCTCCAAAAGTTTTGATTGATATATTTGAAATACTCCCATAATTAACTTTTGATTCAACCTTTCGTCAAGATACTTGATGTTATCAATGAATGCGAGCTAACTTTTGATTAATGATCTGCGAACAGAGCGCTCCAGATTCAGCCCCTTTTCTCTTTGTCGAATTAGCAGCAGTCGTCAGATAAGAGAGGCGTCTTGAGAGATCGTAACTGTAAAAACCGCGGGCATCACCCATATTGCTCTTACGGCATCCTCGGTCGGTCACATTAAATTCTTCGTCTGTTTCAATGAACAAAAGAAAATCGGGCAGTCTCACTTTTGGAGCCACACGAATGTAATTTGTGCGTCAAACTGAAAAAAATTTATCATTAAATCTTGCTTGTTTTATAAAATTACATTTTTTTCTGCGATGAATTCTCTGTTTAAAGAGACGACGAGGTTCTTTATTTAGCGGGACATGGCGCTTCCCACGCTTATCTGCCTGACAATAATAGTGCACCATTTATTCCCAGAGCCGGTAAATTAGCGTTTCCACCTCCCCCTGCACCTTTCGTAATTGCGCCTCTGAGCACCTGGCGCGTTATGCAACCGTTTTTCCTCTTCGAAAAAGTGCGTTTGAAATTTCTCAGGGTTTTATCATTTTTCCTTCTATCATAACTCGCTTGTTCTGTTATGTTGTTGTCACAAATTTTGATATTATTATTATTTATTAATTGTTACTCTCAATTGTTAAGATCAAATTTGCCTTATTTAGATTATAATGGAACTAGATTCAGTTTTTATATCACCTCGTCAAAAAAATGTTTAAAACCTCTTTTTTAACATTAACAATTTCTATTTAAATTATACACATGTGTTATTAAAAAACTCCTGCAGGTTTGACCTGCTCTGATTGTGAGAAGAATACAAAATTGTGCAATATACCTATTTTTGTCTTTGAATAGCTGCACTTTTCAATATTTACATTGGTGCACGCCTTATTTTTATGTCTCCCTCGGCAGCGGAATGCAGACGGAAAGCTTTTGAGACGAAAACAAAGGACAGGTGCGCCCCGACCGCTTGTGAGAGGGTGTTTGTTTTAATTTTCGCCGAGGGGAGGTTGCAGCGTGTGCGTCACACTTTCAAGTGCGGCGACAACAGCTTTTCCATTCTGGCCGCACTTGACTTGCTTTGAGTTAACTTTAGAAAAACAATACATTTATGTTGAAATAATAATTTTCTAGATACTTTGCACACAAAATTTAAACATAATAATTTTTTTAATTAAAATGGTATCAAAGATAACGCCCAATGCAATTTTTTCATTTTTATTCTCCAATCTATTACATTTTCAAATCGGTCTAATTCAGTTTACTCGCAAATTGGAAAGGCAGGTGCGATGCAACCAACATCATTCCACAGCGGTGGTAGCGTTTGCATGAAAGGGATCAATCCGAAGGAAGCGCAGTTTTCCAAATTCATGAAATTGTCAGGTTGATCCTGACCCCATTTTGAGAAGGTCAGATTCTTCCCTGTTGAATCCCACACCCAAGTTTTATTCACTTTGTTCAACGAGATCCAGAAATAGGGAGCACCGCCGACTATTGCATTCTCTTTAAAAAGAAGATCATTTCTTAAATTCTTCAATTAGAATCAAATTATTTTCATACTGTAATTCAAAAGTTTGGAAACGCAATTAAATTTCGCCTCAGTCTCAATCGAAAGCAACTTCATCTTTCGTGCTTTGCAAAAATCAACAGCGAATTGCCAGTCACCCTAAAAATATATAATTTTAACAATAAATAAGGTTAAAAATTTCATACAAAAGTCCTTGAAATCGACAGTTTTCCGCATTTTGTGTCTACTTGCAGCATAAAACCTTAAAAATTAAAACAAAAATATAATTTATAATAGTTATAAAAATTTTATCACTTGATCCTGTTGAGAGATCCACCCTATTCGCATTATTCTGCCCCTTTGGGTCCAAATCATCGATGATCCCGTTGAGCTTGTCAACAAATTTGCGCAGTTTTCTGGCGACAATTATATCTCTGGAGCTATTTTGCTGTAACGACCCCTAAAATCCACCATTAAAACTGAAAAGAAACGATGGAATTAAACAAATATTTACTTCTATAGCGAGGAGCAAGAGAGCAAAGTGACGCCACATATCGATCTCATTTCACGCACTGCATGTGTTGCCAATCGAAAAACTCCAATTTCGCCGTTTCCTTCTCTCGATTGATAATGTTGTTTGCTTTGGCAATCGAACAGTTGAGTTGAAATTGATGTCAAAAGCAACATGTTTGCAAATAAAGCTGAAGAGCGTGTACTCAAGACACAAATATTATAAAATATTTTATTGACACTTAAAATTTAATTGTGTACGATTGTTGCTTATTTTAAATTCAGTGTATCTACTGTATAATAAATAAATAAGTAAAAGAGCTTCAACTTAAACGATTAACAAATTTGATGGTGATTTTTAGATCAAACCTTATTTTAGACTCCATTTTATTATAACAAGAAAGTTAGGCATAAAATAAATAAAATAATATTAATTAAAAGGTATAATTTAAAATTAATCCAAATTGGAGGAGCACATTTTTTAAATTAAAACTGCTCCAAATCATGATTTCCAAAGATAAATTTTTTCTCAGAAAGGGTGATTATTGCAAAAAGAGGATATTTCAATTAACTATGAGATTTTATTTAAAATTAATAACACAAAGTTGTCCTATCTAAAAAAATCTATATTAAAACAATATTTTAGTTTGTATTTGCTTCATTTCATTTAATAACTAACATCAAAAATTTGTTCATAAACGTGGCAAAGTTTTTTTTGTTAACAAATAGCCTTAAATTTGATTTGAAGGCTGAAAATATACAGATAAAAGGTAAGACTATTTTCTTAAACTTATGAAAACATCACACAAAATCAACCCGCGGGACTAAGCGCTGCAATAATTAGTCAGCCCTCCTTTTAAACAGCCGAGTCATCGACCTGGCCACTGGCCCAGAAACTAATTCTTTTCCAAACCACCGTTCCGCAAAGACCATTCTCACTTTTCATCAACTTTTGTCCTCTTCTCAGCTAAAGAAATATTTCCTCCAGAAATAAAATTTCGAGTCAATGAGACAAAATCTCCAATTTATGCATCTTGTTATTGTTGGCAGTGAAATTGATTGTGTCAAATCAACATCAAAACGACGCCCGCCGCGAACACGTGTCAAATAAATTCAATTTTTTTTTTAAATCCATCTCAGAGAGAAAAGAGGCGGCGGCGCTTTTCAGTTTTTACGACGCCCTCGCGGAAACGATTTCACTAAAGCGAGGCGATTATGAAAGAAAGTTTTATTTTTCTCCGTCTGCGATTCCCCGATTTGGAGTCGCACTCCGGCCAAATGTACACCATGTGTTTATGAAAATGAAATCGGGCGCGTTGGAACAAAAAATTGTTTTTTTTTTTTTAACTAAGCGAGTCGTTGCAGAAGAAGTGTGCCGTCGATTTGATCATTGGGTCGCGTGGGTTTGTTGTTTGCCGCCTTTTAAGGGGAATTAATCGAGCGACAAACAATCTCGATGGCCAACCTGAATCTTTCCATTTATGCTAAAGAGCGTAAGATTAAATCAAACTGTGTCCACGTGTTGACAGTATAATTATTACAAAGTGTCTAAGAAAAACATTAAAAAATGTCTACGTATTTCTTATTCTTTTTCATTGTCAATCACATCTTAGTGAGGGGAATCAGTTAATATCAACTAAATTAAACATAATAAAAAATAAATCACAAATATTAAACTGTTATTAAGATTTATAGTTACATTCAAATAAATAATATAACAATATTAAATATTGTAATATTAAATATTACAATTTTTTAATTTTATATTATTTATATCTTATATTATCTTTATATTAAATTATTTATTTGCTTAATTAATTCTAAATTTTAAGTTTTATGCAGAGTGTTTTTATTAAATTGAAAATAATAAATTGTTATGTAGCTCCTCTTAATCTTTAAGGTTTTATACAATACGTTAAAATTGATCATATATATATGTCACTTTTGAGATTAGTGTTATAATTATAATTGCAAATTGTCTTCATTAATGAATCACTGGGCATTCTCTGCCCAAATACATCATCCATACATTCTCGCGGCATGAAAAAAATCGACGCTCTTTAACGATCTTTAAGAGCGCTCGTCAACCCTGGTAAATTCACACAATCTGCATAATTATATAATGAAGATTGTTTTTCGAATATATCATAAAGGTCGACTCAATTAAAAATCATTTTTAATTAAATTCATCTTCACTTTTCTTCTTCAAAATCGGAAAAAAATCTGAATAATTTTCAATATTGAATTTAGCACGTAATTAATTGAAAACTCGCGCTTTGATCAAATCATTTTACAATTAGCGTCCGTTTCCGACACTGAATTGGCCAGCGCGCGCAAGGCAGGTTTCCGGACTCGTGTCGGATGGCAAAAGTGGCTTGGCGTGCCGCGATTCGCTTTTTTTTTGCAGCAGCACCAAAGAGCAGCAAGTGACGGACGGAGTGAAGGTCACTCGTGTGGGCCGCGTGGACGCGCGAGAGCCGCCGGAGCGCCTAATATGGAGCCCCCAGCAACCTCCTCCACGCCCACCTCCGATTTGATTATTTATTTTTTCATTATTATTACGATATATTGCGCTCCACACACTGCACTCGCTTGAATGGGCGCCGCTTTGCATCATCCGACCTGAGAGCGGCCTGAAATTTATTGCCTCGGATTTGCGCAACGTCGCGCCGAACGGAATAATTGAAATCTCCATCGTAAATTGTAAAAATTCAAGTTAAAAATTTGTTCAAAATGGGAATAATTTCAGCAGAAATTTTGCAGTGGCAAAAAATGAGCTTTTTCCTTCAAATGAAATTAAAAAAAATCGAAGGTTCCCTACTTTATAAACAGGAAAAAATAAAACCATTATTTGAAAATCATTAATTTTTATTAAATTAGGGAATAATTTGTTACTTTAAAAATTAAAAAAAGAGCTTATACTCTTTTCCTATTTAAAGAAACAAAAGAAATAGCATTTAATCTTTATAAATAAACTCTCAAATTTATTTATAATTACTGATCTTCTAATTAAGCAGGCGTAAGCACGGACAAGTTCGTTGAATCAATATCACTAAAAAACGATAAAACTATAAAAGAAGCGATTTATTAAAAGGTATCACGAAGTAATTTTCCTTTCTCCCCAAGAAATAATTATTTAACAAAACTAATTTTATAATCAACATAAATAAAAACAAAAAAGAATTCAAAATTTATCTAAATTACAATAAAATACTTTAAAATAATTGTTTTTGACGATTTTTTTTTTAATTTTTTTTTTTAATTTAAAATTTCATAGTTATTAAACAAAAGTCTAACTTATATTAATTTATATTAATTCTTTGTAAACTTTTAAAAAAGTATAGGAAATTATAACTAATTTTCATAATTTAAAATTGTACGATACACACATTTACTACTAATCAAGTTAAAACAATTATGATATTATGCTTTAAAATAAAATGTCAATTTATCAGTTGAAACGATATTATTTTTATTATTCGCAACGAGCAGCTCAATTTTCTAGCTTCTGAATTTGCCATGAGATTTAATTATACAGTGAAAATACCGGTGTCAAAACAGCCCGGCCGGGAGTTCATTCATTTGCAATGTTGACATGAATTTCAAGAGCTTTGCTTTCCCACGACAAAAGAAACCCACCGGCGTGTGTCCATCCAGCAGAATGAAAGGAGGGTGAGCCTAGAGAACAGCAATTTCGTCGAGCTCGAGACAGCAGAAGTTGATTTCTCTGCTCAAAATAATCGCTGCCTTAAAAGAGCAAGCAAACCCGTCCGCCCATTTATGGCGCACGCGGCGCTCTCGCTATTAATTTGCCTCAAAAAAGGCGTTCCGGGGAACAATCAACTCGATTTTCCGCCTCCCCTGACCCAATTTCCAATTTCGACGTAATTCACACTTTTTCTAAAAAAAATTCACTTGCTTGATTTCAGATCCTGCAAAACTTGGGCAAGGTAGACAGAACCGCGGACGAGATCTTCGATGAGCACCTCCAGAACTTCAACAAGCAGCAGGCTCAAACCTCGCGCCTTCAGAAGGAGTTCAACAACTACATACGATGCATCAGAGGTTTGCTTTCTCTATTAATTTAAATTTAATGAAATGTTTCTACCAATAACTAAAAATGCAAGTTCTTAACTAATATTTACACAATAATATTAAAAATAGTTCATTATTATATTTTATTTTTATCTAAATTTTTGATTAATTTACAATTTATATTTTTTTATAAAATTAAATAACTTTAAAACTTTTATATTTTTAAAGAAATATGTAGTTAAGACATTTTAATGCAAATATAACCTAAAAAGTTTAACCTATATATTATGCTGTTAGTGATCTTAACTTTGGTACTGAAATTTTAATGAAATATAATTTTTTCGATTGGATCATCCTGTCGGTCTGAAATTTGTAATTATGCTTAATGAATTACAAGAATATAGTAAAATATTATAAATCCTAAATAAAAAGGATAGAATAATTGATATAATTGCTAATTTTCTTTAATATTACATGTAATCCAATTCTAACTTATTTAAAAACCTAAATAATATTATTTTTCCGTTCATTTTTCTCTTGAAATTTTTAGTTGAATGATGAATCAAGTATGTGGCTTACAATCATGTGATTTTTTAGCCTTTCAATTTATTATTTTATACACGTAATTTTATTTTTACCAACTCAAAATATCTAGAAATCGTTTCTAAAACATGAAACCGCCCTTCATTCCCAACAGCTGCCCAGGTAGCGAGCAAATCGTTGTGGGACGCCGTGTCAGACGTTTACGAAACATCATGGCAAGGCAGAGAACTCGTTGTGCAGAACACCCAGGCGCTGGACGTCTTGTGGCAGGACTACAGTCACAAACTGGCCGACCAAGTGCTCATCCCTCTTAACACCTACCAAGCACAGTTCCCAGAAACCAAGGTAAATCAAAAGTCGAATTTCAAATTAAAATATTTATTGGAGTTAACAGTTATTTTAATCTGGCGATTCGCAAAGGTAGTAAAAGATTTGGGCGCAGACCGCGTCATTCCACTGCATTTCGGTGATCGAGTACATTTTTGTGGTGCGGTTGTTGAGCGGAAAGTAAATGCACTCCTCATTCAGATTGAGCCACCTGTCCGGCATCCCTTTGGACCAATTTGTGTAGCTCAAATTCGCGCCCGTGCTGGACCAGATCCACCTGTTTTTTGGCACCAGTCTGCCGGAAATCCAAAATATCGCCTCGGAATCATTCACAGCAGCAGCTTGATTGAAAATTTTTGAGATTGAAAGTTATGGGAAATTTTCTTAACTGTATTTTTTCTTCAGATTGTAAATGCAATTTTGCTCCTCCTCAGTCTCAATTGACAGAAGCTGCATTTTTCTTGATTCGCAGTTTTCCTTAGCGTTGCTCCAGGAACGCTGATTTATGAAATGATTTTATTTTAATTGCAAAAATAAAAAATTAATAACCTTCTTTTTGACGATCAAATAATCTTTGCAATCAGTCTTCATTGTAAACTCAAAGGCTGGAAACAATTTATATATATTTTTATACAGTTTCTTTCAGAACATACTATTATTGTTGTTCAAAAAGTTATCTTCCTTGGGAGTGGAAATTTTTGGAGCTTCAGTTATGTCCTCCAATTTGTTGGCAATTCTTAGCATTGTTTTAGCCAACTCCCTGATTTTTACCGAAATTAAAGTTTCTTTTTCATTTTGTGCAAGACCAATCTGTAATTTATTTTATTTTAATGGTGTCCTCAAGAAAAATAAGTAAGATTGAATAATTGAAAATGAATGCCATCAAAATTTTTAACTTTTACCTTTAAAAACGAGGCCAGGAGCAAAATAACAACGATGTTTCCAGCGCACTGCATGTTGCAATACTAGTATCAATGCTATATTTTCCGGCAACAATCAAAATCCAGCAAAAGCACCATTTGTAAATCACAGGCCAGCATCCGACCAATCTTTGTACCATTTCCTCAATTCGGAAAATGGCTTTATAATTATTACCCTCCAAATCCGGTGAAATTTCCCATGTTTGGCAATTGTAAAACGCACTCACGTTCCCTGAATATTTTTTGCAGAAGAAAATCGACAAGAGAGGTCGCAAGTTGGTCGACTTTGACAAGGAGAGGCACAACCTGCAGTCGCTGCAGAACTCGAGTCAGGGCAAGCAACGCAACGAGACCCGCCTGGGCAAGGCCAGAGAGTCGCTGGACGAGGCGCGCAGGACGTACGAGGTGCTCAACTCGGAGCTGCACGACGAATTGCCCGCCCTGTACGACTCGAGGGTGCTCTTCATCGTCACCCACCTCCAGACGCTCTTTGCCTCCGAGCACCTTTTCCACACAGAGACAGCAAAAGTGAGTCATTTTTAATTAAATTCTAATTTTTATATTTTCCTTTCAAAGCCGGTTGAGTTTTCACAGATAATGAAGATAATTCTTTTAATATAAAAAATAAATAGGTGTATAGAAAATTTGCAAAAATTTTATTCGGTACAAACTCAAGTTTGGAAAATTGCAAATGTCTAATAATTTATTAAATCTTTTAGATTTTCACCGAGCTTGAATCGATCGCCGACAAACTGGCCACTGACTGCCAGCGCGGAGCTTACACCCTCAGGAAGAATGCGACCTTCAACAGCAACACAGCTTCGCCAAAATCACCCATTTCCAGCAATTCAACAAAGTGAGTTTTTCGTAGCTTTAATAAAAAACTTTATATAAACAGTCTTTTAAATCAAAATAATAATTAAAATATTAATGCTATTTTTATAAAAGTATTATTTTATGCATCGTTGTTTATTGTTTTAATAAAACTTTTGTCATTTTTTAAAATAAATTTTTTAATAATTAAAATTTATATTCTTTATAAGCTAAATTAAATTATTATTTTTATTATGATATGTAAAATTTTTGCTAATTTTATTTTATTAAACAGTTGTTTTATTGAACAAATAAGATATAAGTGAAGCGTAACAGTATTTAATTACTATCACATTCTTAAAAAGTTAATGCTTAACACTAATCCCAGTACCGCTTCCACCTTATTAAATGTAATTATTTATCAATGATAAAATTTGCTTAAATAACCTTCCTCGCAATGGGATGATTTATTATATTTTAAAATTGCAAATCAAAATCTAAAAGTATTCTATTTCTTTATTTTACTTGTTAGCATGATTTATTTTGAGTAAAAATTAATTTCTTCAATCAATTTCAGTGGCAACGCCAGTCTTCCTGCGTCTCCTGCATCAGGTGAGACTCAAAGCTGAAGCTACAGCGCCAAGGAAAACGAATGCTCTCCCTCACGATACATTTCATATTATTATAATTATACTAGTTTCGAGAGAGTTTTTAATCGCACTCTAGCTGATTGTGATGTGGAGTGGTTCTAGAGCCTTTAGGAATTTTTAACTTTTAGCATTAACAGCAGTGTGTTCTTTAAATTTGTGAGCTAAATTTAACACCGGTCGACTCGAATCGTTGGTGGAGGAGGAGGGATTGTCAAAATTGCTCGTTACATGTGGGAGAGGACATTTTCCTTGACGTGTAGCTTTAATTTAAGTTCCCATTTTAATTCGTTTTATATTTATTAAAAAAAAATCACTCAAGGAAAATTGTCTTGAAATCGCTCAGTGACTTTTGTAAATATTTCATTTCCCAGCAAAGTTCTCATTTCTAATAGTCACTCGGAGCACTCATCAAAATTAAAAATCAGCATGAATTCAAAAATTTCATCCCCCAGAAAATCGTTGCACGTGGTTGCGTGGCCTGAACGTGTTTTTCTCTGTTGTCACTTTGCAGAAAAGAACCTGAGTGGTGTAGTGGCGATGAACAGCTCGTCTTTCAACGACACCACCACCACCACCCCTAACGGTAACGCTAAACAGCCCTCATCCCTGTCCCCACCAAATACACCCCCGTCGAGTCCCCCGACGGGCGTCGCCTCCGCCTTGGTCAACTCATCCCCGACCGCCTCGAGTCCTCCCCCACCCCCTTTGCCCTCGACTAACAACGTGCCGGCCGCCAATAAAAATAGCAACAACCCCGAGGAACTGTATGATATTCCAGTCGGTAAGTACGAGAAAAAAAATCACATATTGCGACTATATCAATGTGGCCACTTTCACCCTCTATAGTCTCACTCAGACACACAGATAATTAATAATCTCTCTTAGAAAAACAAATCAATTCTTCTCATTAATTAAAAAAATCATAAATATTCTTCTTGTGGTTTGTGTTGAATGTTGAGAATTTAAACCAAAATTTATAACATCTGTGGTGCAAACAGAAAACACACTCTCTTCTCTAAATAAAAAAAATACAAGACCGTTCCAGGTGAGCATTTTTGTTTTTTGGGCTGAATTTCATTTAGTTGCTTTTATAGACTTTTTTCACTTTACAATTAGTTGAGTTTCGCCCTCGAACCAAAATGCTTGACAAAAATCGGTGTTAACTTTTTTGGATATTGAATGCAAGTTCTTGTTCCTGGTTTGCAGGAGCCACTACCGAAAATCTGCCACCCGGTGTGCTTTACCGAGTAAAGGCCACATACAAATACAGCAGAGAGGACGTCGACGAGCTTTCTTTTGAAATCGGAGAGATCATCAAAGTTGTCGAGTACGAGGACCCTGAGGAACAGGTGCGACCCTTTTTGCAAACTTTGAAATCTGCATTTTTATTTTGCACCCAGTTTTTATCGTCCGTCCAAATTTGATCGAAAAATTTATTTATTCCTTGAAAAAGCTGAACTAAATTATATTTTTTCAATTTCAGGAGGAGGGTTGGCTGATGGGTATTAAGGAGGGCACCAACGAGAAGGGCATGTTCCCTGCCAACTTCACCCGTCCAATCTAAAGCAGCACCACCCTTTTTAGAAGAAGAAGCAGCAGCAGCCCATCGAGAGAGAAAGGAGTGTATTCGGATATAATTCTGCAGCGACATCATCCATTGCTCACAAAGCGTTACCTTGTTGAACCACGAGTGCCTGTTGAGAAGTAATTAAATAATTCGTTATTCCTTTGTAGCGGCGCCCTGCTTTTTTATCAAGCAGGGCCCGGCCCTTTCTCCGCATCCAAGGACGCCCTCGGCCGAAATCAACGTTCGTCAATTAAATATATGAAAACCAGTCGCATCATCATCATCACATTTCCATCGCATTGGCCGTGAGCGTCCTTTGATTTGGGTGTATCTATATGTTGATTAATCAATAATCCGCCCCTGTGCTTGTACATTGTTCGTGTTATGTTCGGAAACTGAAGGCAGCGTTTATTTATAATTGATACAACCGAAATGAGCTAATTGTAAAATTTGTGGCCCATTTGTAGAGAGATAGCAATTTTTAGGAGGGATTTTTAATTATTTATGCATATGGCCGAAAAACTGAAAATCGAGCTCAGTGACAATTGAACGAAAATCAATATGGGACTGCCGGTTGAGATGAAAACAAAAAATACACGCCACCAATTATTGAGAATTCCTAGTCGAGATTGTCAGCTATTTTGTCCGCTTCCTGCTCTTCCCTCGCCAAGTGCCACACAGTGTCTGGACCAAAAGTGCCAGAATAGCAGCGAGTTTTCGCTATTTTCCCCGCTTGAGAATTATTTATTAAACAAAGAAACGACAAAGCAACTTTTTTGATGGTGCAAAATTAATTAATACATAAATGCAGATAATATATATATTTAAAACGTAGTCCTCGCCGATGACATGATTATATATTCTGTCCACGCATTGCTGTAAAAAAAAGGAGAGGAAAGATATTTTTCAAATCCTCTCGCTGATTGAAAGCAGAATAATCTATTTTTGTTGGTGGATGGGTGGTTAATTTGATATAAACAAAGACCTGCTTGAAGAAGAAGGTTGCGATCACTGATTAACACTCATTAAAAAGTAACATGAATAAAAATAATTAATGAAAAAGGCCTTGCAGAAAAGTGTAGCTGTTGAAGAGAATTGCAAAAATAAATCGACTCAAATGTGAATCTTAGTCTGATATGTAAATGATGATTATCCTGCGCGCCGAGATTGCTGGTTTGCGAGAAAAAATGTTGATAAATATATAATAATTATACTCAAATCAAGATGCTTACTTAGTTGATGGAATGTTGAATAATTACGTGTAAATAAAACAAGTAAATACATAGCGCGGTAAATTACTCACCGAATCTGCATCTCTCGGAGGAAATTTTAATATGGGATTAATGACGAAGAGTGTGCGCTCCGCCATATTTTATTTTAGCCGTTGATAAGAATAAAGTTTGTGACTGAAGTGAGGATGTTTATAGACATAATTGTTGTTGTGCATGATCGCCCCTGAGTATATCTCTTTTACTTTTTACCCCTGAGTATACACAAAAACACGCTACTTCTCTTCTTATATACAATGAAGAAAAATCGTCTCTCGTGCAATAGAAATAATACTTTCTTTCTGTCTCTGTTTGAATTTTTCATTCAAGTTATAGCATTTTATTCACACTTCTTTTGTTAACGATTTCGATTATTTCACTCTGTCATTGATAAATTCTCATTTGGATCGTGCGTCATTTTTGGAGAGGTCATTTATTAGTTTTTAGCCAAAAGTTCTACGACCCAAGCTAGAATGTTATCAGCAGCAGTCTTCCCATTATCTGTCTTATTATTTGCGCTCTCCGCTCATTCATGTCTCCTGTGCATTCAAGGATTTAATAAATAACTCACAAACTCTCTGATTATCATGTACAGTTTTTACAACAATTTGAAATAAAATTGACAAAACACCAAACTAAGAGAAACTTTGAACTTTTATTGGTCTGATCTCCTTTAGATTTAAATATTCTATGCTAAATTTAAGATTATTTATTTAAGGTTGAAAAAAAAACTATTATTTTTTTAGTTTATTAGATAATAAATTTTATTACAATTATTCAAACTCGACACATCAATTGCCAGTATGGATAAAAATGTCAAATACAAGTAGATCAAAATACCTCCGGGGACGGATTTCTTGGTGTCAGGGAAATTTTGATCTTGGTATTATATAGAAAACTCTCACATTTATGGCACTCCAGTAAAAGAGGCTGGATTCTCGAATGGAATGTGCATTTATGATGAAAGGCACACAACGTCCTCAATCAAAAACCAAATACACAGAAAAAAAATGCAGCTTGTCATCATCAATAATTTTACTTTCCTTGTCAATCGATTCCATCGAAAATTGTCTCACGCACGAAAACAGGGTTCTTAACAGCTATGAAACTGCGCACCGATAATACATCATGTTGGTTATACTCCGTGAAAAGCATGGTCAGGGTTCGGCTGGCAGCCCAAATTTTCCAAACGGAATGCTGTGTATGTATAACATTTAAGAAATTGCACTGCCCAACAAAACTACTAACGTAAGAGATTGAAACGATATAATTCTCGATAGATTATAATTAACATTACTGAGAAGCTAAAATGAACATCTTAGAATCACAAGTTTAAGTACTACTTAACACAAAAACAATCATAATTCAGTTGTGATGACCGTTTTCCGGATTATGGGAGCTGGTTCGGGAGGAGACGAGTCGTTGACGAGCCACGGGGAAATCTGCGAGGCGAGCGGAGTGCTTGCTTTTGTCAGGGCTGCTTTCAGGATTGGCTGTGGGGATTGGGCAATTGTTTCCTGAAATGAGAAAAATATATTTAGACTTATAAATAAATTCAAAATTTGATAGTTTAAAAATATTTTTGTGACTTTTCAGTTTTCTAAATTTCATCTTAATTTTATCCTCATTCTACCCAATTAGTTTTATTTATTAATCATCGACTATTCTTCATTAATTTACTTGTTGTGTTGATTTCTAAAAAATCAGATAAAAATGTTGATTAAATTAATAAAATAATGAAAGATTAGACGTCACTTTATACTTTTAAGCATCTAATTTCAACTTCTACAGAAGCAAAGCATGCACTAGACTAGGACAAGCGTAGCCCTACCTTGGCATTTGAATTCTTTTCCAAAATCACCTCGACTTGCTGCGTCACAATGGGCGATTTCAGCACTGGCTCTGGTGATTTTGGCGATTTCGGCGCCTCCTCTCCGTTCGTCGCAAACGGGTTGAAGAACGGATTGAGTTTTTTCTCTTGAGGTGAGTTTGGCGCCAGGAATGGGTTGGTCGTGTTCAGCGGGGACGTCGGAGTACTCGGCCGGTCCATCGAGGTGAACGGGTTGAAGGGGTTGCTCGTGGTCGTGGTCTCGCCATTCTGCAGCTTGACCTTCTCCACCTGACCTCTGTCGCTCCACGAAAAGTGGGTCACAGTCACAGGGTCGCCCGAGTCAGTCTCTTCGACGGGCTGCGGGCTGGACGGAACCGACAGTGGGGAGGTGACCATGTTGCTGATGGTAGGGGTGGTGGCGGTGGCGCCTCCCAGACTCAGGGTCAACTTGTCTCCACCCTAGGGGCAGAAGCAGGCAAGCACAATAAGCAAACTACCACTAGCTTGGCACATTCACGGACTGAAGGCTCGGAAATACTTTCACAACCACTTTTTTAACACACAAAAGTAAAATAAAAATTAAGCATAAATAAATAAAATTTAAGGATGAAGGAATTTATTTTTTCCATTCCAGCTTTCAGAATGTAAAAGTATCAACTTTTAAAATAAACTGCTTGTAATGAAATTAGTATGTCTACTAAAAAATATTAATTAATAAAAAGGTAAAAAAAAAAAAACAATATTACATCTATCTAGAAAAGATACATAAGTGGTTGGCTTGTTTTTTAAATGCTGTAATAAAAGATTTTGCAAGGAAAATTAAATAAGAGAAGTTTTATAAATTTAATTGAAAATCTTGAAATATTTTTCCTTTCAGCCACTGTCCATCTAAATTTACGAGCCAATTTTCTTCTAACCATACGTTAGATAAACAGAAATGAATAATTTACAAAAGAGGCTGCGTATAGGACAGAGAATGTTAACAGCAAACAAAATAAATAACTCAAATTACTACAAACTTACCACGGAGATGAAAGTTGCTGCCGAGCCATTCAAAGAGTCCAGCTGTGTTGAATCCAATCCGCTGGCGTAAAGTTGATTCTTGTGATTCACACTCTCAGCAGCCGCTCTAAATTTAGTAGCAATTAAACAAATAAGTCTGCTGGTAGAGTACAAGTGTTTAAAAATCACTTACACAGACAAAACATTGCGGTCGTCATTAACGTTGCTCATCTTGTCAACAGCGTTCAATTCCACAGACACGGGAATTTTCTTCAGTTCTTCTTCAGCACGAGCTGTAATTTTAATTACAAAATGTTTTTACTGAATTTATCAAGTCCTACCTTTCAGAATATTGCACTTGAGGGTTTCTGGAGGCAATGGTCTGGCGCCCCAAGGGTTGTGTCCCTTTAAAGTCTGGTTATTTGGCTGTGTCTGGCCGTTGGCAATCGGAGAACTTGACCTCGCAGGGTCATTGATTGAAATCATGCAGGACAACGAATCAACTTCTGAGAAGAGAAAAAAAATCAGTGAATACTAAAGATAATCCAATGCAATTTAAAAACCAACCTGTTGATTTAGTTGTTGGATTGAGAGCGGCGGCTTCATTGACAGGGTCTTCTCTGTTGCCGGAATTTGTTTCCTTAGCAAGGCTCTTCAGCAAAGAGTCCAGACGTTCCTCAGCAATTACAGCTAATAAAATTGAAACCAAAAATTTATAGAAAGTATTTTAAGCTAATATTAGATATTTGACAATAATTTGAATAAGCAAAGATTAGTGATAATTACTAAAAATAAAAATCTATTTATTTATAAAGCAAATATTGTTGTTTTAAAAGTTCTCGAGGCTTCTTTTTTATTGAAGTAAAGTAAATAGGAGGAAAAATCATACCTGGCGGAACAGGGGAGGTTGACTTTGAGCCGAAGGCAACTGCTCCTCTGCTGCTTCCACTGGAGCCACTCATCCTGCTCGGACTGTTCCTCCTCTTTAGCGAGTCTCCCATGAGGGAGGCCTGGGGAGTCAGCATGGGCGAGGCGGGCGCCGCTTCGACAGGGTCGTGCAGTTGCAGCAGGTCAGCCGTTTCTGGCTGCGGTGGCGACGCCGCAGCCGCCGCTGCAGCTGCAGCCGCGGCGGCTGCCTTGCGCTCTTCGGCTGCTGCCTGGGCGGCCGCAGGCTGGAAGGTGCGTTGGCGCTCGCGCATCACATGACTCTGTCTGCGGGCGTAGCGCTGACTGGGCCGTCGCTCGAACTGCACGCTGCGCCGGCCGCGGCTGGTGATGGTGGTCTGGAACTCGGTCTTGCCGCTGTAGCGGAAGCGCGAGCCCATTCGGAAGAAGTTTTGGCGAGCAGAGTTGCCCTTGACTGGGGCACGCAGGCGGAAGAAGGCGTGGTGCTCGATCGCGCACTTCCACAGGTGTTTGCATGCTTTTTCGTTGTGGAGTCTGGAAGTCAATTGATACTTTCTAGTTTAGTGAAATGCATACAAAATGAAATCTGGTTATAACGTTTTCAAATGATTTAATATTTGTGCATATTTCATGGACATCATAAAATTTAAATCCTTAAAATATTAAGTTAAATTTTTAGTCATTAATCTAATAAAACGCAAACTTAAAAAGTGGCTGAATTACCTGTTTGAGGTCCCATTGCAAATTAAATTAAATTTTAAAAAAATTTTAAAGACATGAAATTGAATTGAATTCAATTCATATTCTTATGAATACTCAGAACCAATTTGTATTGAAAAAAAGTATGAATCTAAACTTTAAAAAAAAAAAACTATGCCAGTCTAACAAAATAAAGATAAATTGTTGCTTATAATAAAACAACTCACCTGAACACAAACGTGTGCTCCTGCTCCCTTCCTTGATCATCATCCTCAACTACCACAAAAGTAAGTTTCTTCTTTTTAAAGTCCAGCTTTCCAATTTTAGGCCTAATCAATAATAATTTTAATTACTTTGCTTGCACAGAAAGATAAACGCATTTACTAACCAAAAGAAGAGACCAATTTTCTGAACGCCTTCAAACACTAATATTCCTGTCGGTGTCAGTCCTAGAGAATATTCACACCCATCTTTTCCCTGATCATAAAAAATTATTATTCAAATGATTCTCGTGATTTATACTCAATCAACTTACAAGAACTGTGTGCATATCCACGCCATACATTTCCAGCCACTTCACCTTGTTGAGGAAGTGAGTTTCGGCCTGGGCTGGTGTGTAACCTCTGAAAAATTAAAAACAAAAAAACATTTTTCACTCATCCTCGGAACTTTTCCTGGTGATTGCTTTGTTTTTTCAACTTTTTCTAGATAAAATGAAAATGAAAATGCAGACTGTGAATCACAAAGTGAGTCATCGCCACGAGGAGCAGTGAAATAAATAGTACGTAAACTGGTACGCGCGAAACTCGTGAAAGGGGAGACACGTACTTGCACTTTTTGTATTCGTCCAACACCAGAAACTCCATTTCCTCAGATTGCTGGGGGACGAATCTGAATTCTGATATGACTGCAGGTGTGTGAACTCCTTCTTCATAGTCACCAAGTTCAGCTAAAAATAAAAATGTGATAAATAAATAATAATATTTCTTGATCAAACAAAGCAAATGACCAAAACCTACATTGTAAGGCAAGTGCGGCTAATTCAACAGCAGTCTGAATGGGGCACTCGAGACGCCCCTCCAACAGATCAAGTTTCAGCTGCAGGAAGAACTGGTACCTGGAGTTGAGAGAAAAAAATTGATTTTTCTGCCAAAGAGAGTCGCGCCGCCACCTACTGTCTGGCAGCCTTGCTTGTTTCAACAAAACGCTCAAAAACGCTCACCCAGACAATAACACGCTGCACGTTTTGAGGTCATTTACAAACATACAAAGCTGCTGTCTAAGTAAGGGCATATCAGCCGTGTTAAATATTTGAATTATTCAAACGGCCCGAGCGATATGGGTGTATTAAAAAAATTACCTCGTGAGCTCCTCCCTCAAACTATTGGGCTCGGATGAGTAGAATTTCACTTTCAGTCTGAACGTGTAGGGTGGTCCAACTGGACAAAAAATGCAAATCAATTTGAATTCAGTTTTATTATTTCACGGACTTACTTTTGACTTGTTTCTTAATAGCCTTGGTCGGGTCGAGCCAATGCTGAAAAATTACGTAATCGTGCAGGTTAGTCTCTTTCTCTGCGGCGCGCGTGTGTTTGCATGAAATAAATCAATTGAACTTACCTGCACATTGTTGGCGTCCGTGTACTGCAGGCCGAAATAGTCCTTTTCAATGAGGTCCAGCGAGTAGAAGGTCTGCTCGTACAAATCGCTGCCCACCGCCTTTTTCTGCGAACGAGACAAATTCAAACGTGTTAAATCGGTCAACCGCCAAAATAACCAAATTATGACACTGGCGCGTCAAGAGCAAACATTAAAAAGGTTTAGCCGCATTTTTTACGACGTGCCGAAAAAAAGAGCAGGAAGAGATAAAACGTTGACATTCCTTCACCGCGAATAAAAATCAGCAAAATTGGTCTGAGATTGGTAAAAATAATTTAGCAAAACTAAAATAGTTATACTTAAACTGAAAAATTAATAAAAATGGGTTAACCTGATCGTTTTAATTTATAATAATTTAATAAAATATGAAAACGAAATAATTTTAATCAATGTTATATTTAAACTGTTTAAAACTCTTTAAAAATAAAATATATCCTAGATTGTTTTATTGTTGACCCAGAATATTATCAGATGTAATGTGTATTTAATGATTTTGATGGTTGAGAGAAAAAGCGGAGCAAATAATGCTGATGCGAATCAGTTCATGATCAGATCAACTTGAAAAGTCTTTCTCAATCTCGCAATCCAAATTGGTTCATCCAGACGAATGAGAAAAAACTGACGAGCTCGTGACGAAACGCCTTAATTCCAAATTGGATCACGAACGAAATAATAAAGCAAAAAATAAGATCGCCCACATGATTGCGATCTGATCCATTTTTCGATTGAAATAAAATGAAAGTTCAGAGCGAATGACGTAAGAAGAGCGGATCTGCAACCTTTCTGGGTACAAGTATTTTTTTCTCTCTCCACCGAAAGCGTTTTGTTCTCGGAGCGGATTGGCGAGAGAAAGGAAATTGAATACGGTAGCAGCACCGACTCGGCTTGGCGACTGCCGTGAGATTTATTATTAATATGTATTTTCTCTTGAGAATTATTATTACTTCAGTCTTCTTCTGATCGATCATTCCATTTAATAATTTCGACCTGGAGAGCGTCAATTTCTCTCGCGCTGATTGCCGGTCATTAAGCATTATTTTTGCCCAGTGTGAGTGGCGCGGTCACTCTATTCATTATTCAAAACACTTCCTGCAATTGAGACAAGACGGATTGAGACTTTCATTTCTCTCGACCATTCGATTTATGAGATATTACGCTCCAGTCACATTTCATTATCTTTCAATTCATAAACATAGGCATTGCTATTAATTGAAGTCATAAATTTTGATTAAAATTTATTTTAATTAGTTAAATTCAATTACATTAGAGGCTAGGAGAATTAATAAATTAATTAAAGAAAATAATGTTAATTAATTATGATTTTTTTTTAATTGTTATTTTTATTTTTAATTTTGACAGAGTCTTTGAAAGATCAGTGGGCAAACAATTATGTTTTTAAATTAAAAGTAATAGTATCTGTAAAAACATTTAATCAACCATAAAAGTCAAATTCTGGTGCAAAAATCATGAAATTTCTGAAAGTTTAAAAAAAAATTCATCACTAGCAAAAGCTAAATTACTTTTAGCTTAACGACTGAAATCTACTGTCATTTTCCCCTTTATATTTGATGATATGTGAATGAAATTGTTTAAAAAAGCGTCCTTTGATTGTTGATCGCAACCTCATTATTTTCAAACAAAAGAGGAATTATCCCCATTGACAATTGGCACTCCAATAATAATTGAAGGGCGTATTGAGTCACATCAAAATCAAATCAAGTTACAAGTCGATGACAGGCCATCGTGGAAAACAATGGCAGTGCGATGACGTCGGGAGCCGTGCTGGCCAAAAACCGCAGCACCACTCTCGGTCAAGCCGCGTCAAATTAAAAAAGACGCGACGACGGATCAACTAACGAATTACGCCTGCATGTCAAACCCGCGTATGAGTCACGCGAAATAAGCCAGCGAAACGCACAACGCAAAATGCTATGCGGCGTGAACGAAAAGTGATATCAGGCGCAAGTTATTCCCAGAGATAACGCTAACTACAAACTGGCTCAATATTGACATTGCACAGCCTCGTTTTATCTTCCCTTTAGTCGCTGCGTCAAGAATCAAGAAACACCCTATGAGCTTGATCATTGTATATCTTTCATTATATTAACTTCTTTCAGCTACAGGTTTATTTATAAAATTAAATACATCCAAGAGAGTTATTTTTCATTTTTTAAATTATTTTGTTCAAAGTAAAAAATGTGAATTAAATTTAACTCTAAATAAGTTTAGAAGAATATTCAAAAGCAAATTTTCAGGTAATTATATTCTAGTTCTGTGCATTTATGAGAAAAATCGTGGCCCCTGAAATACAAATAATTGACTTGATGAGTCTAAAAAAGCCTTTTCAACCCTGTTCAAAACCTGAGAAATATACTTATGAACCGATAGCCTTCCAATATTTTCAACATTATTCATTTTTTTTTTTCAATTTTACAATTTCCATACGGTAATTTCTTCTTTGTTATCATGATATTTTAAAAATGGCAGACAAAAATATATAATTGCTGATCTAATTGCATAGTAATGAAGGAGTTCATTTATTTATTTCAACAAATAAAATGGAATATGAACTTAAATGAATGAACTTTAACTAAATACAAAAACAAAATACTCTGAACAATTTTAATTTCATACAAAATCAAATTAAGACTTCACATTACCAATTGCTATATTTTTTTCTTTTTTTTTTAAATAGCAACTTCTTCACCATTGATTTTGTGGTTGGAAAAACACATTAGTTCTGCTTTTGATAAGAGCGCTGACTTGAGTGGAAATGTTGGGTGCAAATGCAGCGTTTTCATGCAGCGGTGAGCCGAGAGCGTGCTTGAGCGAATAATCGCGCAGGCAAATCCAATTAGCCGCGAGCCGGCCAAGTCGTCATCAATGAGCCAAAAACGTCGCTTTTTTCTCAGTAATCCGCGCGCCGTGACATACTAAAAAAATGTGAGCTCTGTTGCTCAATCGCAAACACACAAACCTACCCACCGTGCTTGCTCGAGCCTCGCCAGCCGCACCGATCAATGCGAAATGGAAGGATTCCATTCCAGCATTTTCGACCCACGCCCTCGAATGCCTTTCTGATGCACGCAGGCATTTAGCTACCCTTCAAAAACAAACAATAAAAATATTCATTTTACCAATAAATTTTTAACCGGCAAAATTATGAGTTTGACTTTTAATTGACAGACAATATTTTCGACAAATATTTTAATTTTTCTTCAAATAATGAGGAAATATAATTCAAGTAATTTAATTGAATCTAAGAATTTAAACGGTTATTTCATTAATTTATTTATTTTTCCAAATAATTTTCTAATGTGAGATTTTTTCTCCAGACTTTCCAGATCTTTTACAACTTTTATTTTCAAAAACCAATTTCACTTCAGCCAAAATAATAAAAAATGATTTTTAAAAATACTCCGCAATTTTCTGCAACTTTAAAACAGTCTCTTCTGAAGTCGATGTCAATGCTTAAAAATTTACTTCTTGAGTCGTGCATGAAGGAAATAGAGGCCATAAACGCCATTTGGCTGGGCAAATTTAATGACCCCGGTGGCAGGAAGACAATGTAAAGCCAGTCTGGGAACCGCTGCTCTGGCATTTTTGTCGATTGAAGCCACGATCACGCCACAATTTCCAACTCATTGTTTGAAACAGACATCGATCATTCTACTCAAGAAGAAAAGTAGTTCAATGTTCAATTATTATTTGTAATTAAACATTTGGAGCGATTCATAAAAAATTAGAAATAAATCCAATCAAAAATATTGATTTCATTTTACACCAAATCATCTTTAAAAGAAAATAAAAATTTCAATTCTTTAAATAGTTGTTAACTGCGAGTGTATTTTTTTTCTGTTCTAATTGTTGTTGTATTTTTATGTGTTGTGAAGTGTAAAGCAGTTTCAGGGGATTTTTAAGAGGTTTTTACTTAAACCTGGCTTTTGAGAATGGAATTCAAACCAACATTTTGACTTTTAAATGAGAAATTAATTTTTAAAATTGTAAAAATGGCTCACAAATAAATTTTTTTTACACAAAAAATAAAAAATTCAATGAAAACTCTGAAAATTAGGGTAAACAGAGCAAATATTAATTATGGAGCCATTTTAAAAATTATTTTCTCTATTAAAAGTCCAAATTTTTGTAATCAATTCTTTAAAGCCAAATTTTTTCTCGCAAAGTTTCCGTAAAAGCGCGTTAAAACCTCTTAAAAAACATAAAAAATTTCGTCTATCCAAAATTATTAGAAAGATAGACTGGAATTTAATTGAGACAAAAAATAAATTTAAAGTAATTCCAGTTTAGGCAAAAGTGGCTGAAAATTTAGAAACCTTTCATCTCTTTCTCAAGCCAATAAGTCACTCTCAAGCGATTGCACTTTGAAGTCTGAGCCGCTTGATATCCATCCACACACACACACAAGGAAACTGATTTGGGATGCAGAGCCTAGGTGGGTTTTTTTATTCTTTGACGTGATACAATAGGCCGGCGTATCAAAACGTGAACACAAAATCCACTTGGCCCAACGCCAGCAATATCGTGCAGAGTTGCAACTCGCCGTGTGAATTTAATTATCGCCGCGATCACTTTCTATTTCAAGACGCTTTTCTCACTGGAGAGCAGAGCAAGATCGCATCAACGCCGACGCGGCATTTACGTGAATGCGCCAGCTTTGTCTTTTTTCAACAACCGATCATCTGCTTAATTACACGCAAGCTTAAATGCACCCCAGGGAATTGGAGCGTCTTTGAGTTTAGAGTTGGTGGGATCGAAACGAGCAATTATTGTGATTCGCGGACGAAATCATAGGAAAGTTTGATCAAAAGCCCCATTGTTGTGTTTGGAAGATTGAAAGGTGACACCTTTTCTATTGAGATTATCCTTTGTAAATTGGAGAGAGTTTCATTCAGTTTGACGCATCTAAATTGATCATTTAAATTATTAACTTTATGGCTGAAAATAAAAATTATTTGAAAATTTTATATTATTTAATTTTTTACTTTAAAATTAAACAAATTTATAAGAAAACTATACAATAATAACCCATAATAAAAATTAAACTA